CACACACACACACACACACACACACACACACACACACACACACACACACACACACACACACACACACACACTTTTCTGAAAATGTAGGCTATCGACAGAGGGATAAGCCTGAGCATTATTCTAGCTTGTTTACATTTTGAGGAAGCGTATGCCATTATTGTAGGAGTTAAAACAGCAAACAGGTGTGGTAAAACAATCACATATAACATCCATTAGATACTTTTGAGGTACACAAGTCAAAGGGTATCAGAACATATGAAGATATATAATTTCACTACCACACCTCCTAAAAAGGCATTAATAAAAAGGTTTTGAATAACCTCCTCGTGATAGATTTTAAAATAATTCTATGCATTTTACCAAGTATTGCTTGCTGTGGAATTACTCTCACCATCACATCCCCTTACTATGTATATTCGGGTATATGGCATTTATCAATTATGATTTGAACAGTGATTGTGTCTACTAGCATAATTTTCATATGTAATGGGTAGGCCCAAAATGATATTCTAATTAATTCATAATCATGCTGAAAACATCAAGTCTGATACTGTAAACTGCTTGTTAGAACATTAAAATCCTTTTAAAGACGCCACTTCAGTTCTACAACCACAATAATGTACTACAAACATGCTGGAATGAGTCAGGTGTTTTGCTGCTATTGTCATGTCAAAATTGCATTCTGCCTGTCTATTATTACTATTTAGATAATGGTAAAAGCCAAACTCTGGCAGGCACTTTGCAAAGCCACGGCTCACAGCCTCAAAGGTATTTAGGTGGCTAACTCCTATTTAAATCAATTATTAAATATCTTTGAAGATCTGCACCACAGTCATTGTTTTGGAGGGTACATTCTAAAAAAGGCAGACAAAGAATGAAGTAAAGAGAAGCAATTAACATACAAGCAAAGTGGTAAGGGTGAAGATAGGCACATCCTATTAGTTCAATTTTTTTTGTTTTCTTTTCAAAGTTAAACCCCTGAAGTATCCCTTTCTTCACAACTCAGCCCCCTAGTCTTTCCCCCACACCAATTCCCAGCCTCACTTCCATCCTCCTTATTGCAAATACATGATGGGGAGATTTGGAAATGGGAGTCAATGAGGAATGAAAAGAACATAACAGAACTCAAGGAAGAGAGAATTTGTAGTTGAGGAAGCCCGTATGCAGAGAGGACTTTCGCCAGAGGCACTCAGCCCTGGTCTACACTGGGGGGGTGGGGTGGAGGGCATCGATCTAAGTTACGCAACTTCAGCTATGTGAATAACGTAGCTGAAGTTGACGTGCTTACATTGACTTACTGTGTGTGGTGTCTTCACCGCAGTGACTCAACTGTTGCCGTTCCCGTTGACTCTGCCTGTACCTCTCGCGGCGGTGGAGTACAGAAGTCGATGGGAGAGCACTCGGGGGTTGATTTATCGCGTCTAGACTAGACGTAATAAATCGATCCCCACTGGATCGATTGCCGCTCGCCGATCCAGTGGGTAGTATAGACATACCCTCAAACCAAAGGGATAAAATGGTATGAACCCTGGCATATTTTTAGTCATATTGGCCTTATATGTAGAACACGTTGGGGATCTTTCATGAAAAAAAGATGCTCTAGAAATGTGATTCAATGGTATTAAACAGAATGGACACATTATTAAATACACCGTTACCTCGATATAACACAATCCAATATAACACGAATTCAGATATAACGTGGTAAAGCAGTGCTCGGGGGGGGCAGGGCTGTGCACTCCGGTGGATCAAAGCAAGTTCAATATAACGTGGTTTCACCTATAACGCAGTAAGATTTTTTGGCTGCCGAGGACAGCGTTATATCGAGGTAGAGGTGTATTATTTCTTATTGCAATAATATATTTAATGTTAAAAAATGCTGTTATAAAGTGATTTTTAAAGTGTCTCTTTTTTATAATCCTCTAGATTTCACAGGCCATAGAGATTTTCTTCTGAGAAGAATTTGTCTTTACTTTCGATACTGCTGCTGAACACACATCAGGGAACGTATAAAGGTCTTTCCCTGAAGTTCAGTTCACGATAACCTGACGTGTGTGTGAGAGAAGGACTGTGCAGGTGAAATCTCTGCAGCTCGTACACACAGGAGCTACCTACCAGAGGACGTACTTCGCTCTTTGATGCCTGAAGAGTGATGGCCTGTGGGGTGGGAGGATCAGCTGAAAACGAATGAAGTAAAGCTACTGGAAGGAACTTACTGCTCTCCTTTAACACTTGTTTTAAACTGTTTTGCAGCATATCTTGGAAAAGGAGATGTTGTGCATGTACAGGCTTTACCATTCCAGGGCCTCTGACATAATGGACATGACGCACTGTCATTCAGTATTATGTTGACAAGACATTTTGAACTAATCACAATTAGTTTGTAAAACACTTACGTTCATGTTATACAAAATGATTTAATGTATTATAATTTCTTTCTTTTTTATATAATGTCTAACGAAAACACAACTGCAACATTTTTGATTCCTGTTAATTTTGTTCTTTAATTAAATGACTACTTATTGCAGGAAATGAGCGCACTTCTTTTAAATTGCTTTTTTCCCCCAGGTGGGATTGAAGGGGAGGGGATTTGTAATTATTATGGGCCAGATTTCCTGCACCACAAAAGTCAGCACACAGTCTGGGAGACCATGATCAGTAGAATTTAGACAATGGGCTTCCCACCTTGTGGAGGAAAGATATTGGACCAGATGCTTACAACTGGAGTAATTCTACAATAGCTGAGGACCTGGCCCTTTGTAAGAAATGTAGTCTGTCACTACAGTAAAAAATTACTAAGCTTTCGCAAATTTAAACATGACATAGTCAATTAAGTGTATTTAACAGTTTACCTATCAAACTATTGATAGTTGTATTCTTTTTCTAGTAAAAATGTACGTGAGATTTGATAACTTCCTGATGAGGAAAAAAGATACTTCTACTAATAATTACTAAAAACAAACCTAACAGAAATGATTATGAAAAACTATAAGCAAGATAGGCCACAACGCTTAACAAAATCCAGAAGATTTGCCTAAGTAAGGAATACAGGATTTGGCTAAAAATCATAAATATGTAAGTGATAATGTTAACAGTAGGTAATATTGATGAAAATGTGAATGATACTTGCATAAGATATTCTGTTTCTTTATATCAGAGGGGTAGCCGTGTTTGTTTTTCTGTTTCTTCAGTGACTGTAATAGAAGTGGCACATACGCATACAAGTCAAAATTTTGTCCATAGATGTTTCAAGTTCTACCCTTTGTAAAAGTTTTAAAAAAGAGTAAAAAATTTTGGGTAGGACACGTCAACCTCAAGCCAGCAGAAAGGACCCCAATGAAGACATGAAAACAAATAAGCAAACAGATAAAAGGTAAAGGGAATTATGGATATAGACTCCTGATAAATGACTGCAGGATGGTGTGCAGAATTAATGCATCTAATGGATGGCCTAATTGCTTTTGGTTCTCCAGTGATCAGCACTGGAGTGAAATGTCTCATTTAAACACAAAGATCTATTGTACTCCCTCCACAATAATAGGAATTATGAATGTACAGGACATACTGATAATATACTTAGTTTCAGCCATTGTTAGAAGCCATTCAGCTTAATGTCTAGTTAGATTTAATTTTGTATAACCTTAGACTTAGATCTATGTGACCAATATTTATAAGTCCCTGAGTAACCATCATGATTTAATCCAATGATTTGTCTCTTTAATTACCTGATTTTAGAACTTTGTAGCCTCATCATGGAAATCTATATCATCATGCTAACTGGTATTTTAACATTTTTATTAGAATAATTCAACCACAAGTTCTGATATTTGACCGTCATAATATAATGAATGAAAATTCAGGAGTAATACAGGGAAAGAGTGAAAACATTAAAGAAACACCTCTCAGTAAGAAATACTTTTTCTAATTTGAGAGGGAAAATAGATGAGCCTTGCAGTATAAACAAGCATCGTGGATTGTACACTTTATTATTATTATTTGTATTATCAAAATGCCTCATAACCCTAGTGAGGGACCATGACTTCATTGTGCTAGGTGCTGTACAAACAGCACAAAAAGACAATCCCTACCCCTAAACGCTTGCAATCTAGGTACCAGGTTTGGAGTTGAGCAAAACATTTTAGTTTAGCAGTGATTCACCTTCCCACTAAGCCCTCATTAATAAATACTACCTTGATAAGAAAATGGTTCTGAAAAATATAGTATTATAAGCACAAAGGAATATTAACGATATATTAGTCAGGGCAGCTTTTTTAAAAAAATGCAACTACATGTGTATTATTTTTACAACATACAGATGCAAAGTAAAAAAAAGCTTTTGTATTTTATACAATCTTCAAAACCTTGCAAATTCAAAGAAAATATTCATTAGTTTCACGTATTCTTGACAGGTTTCAGAGTAGCAGCCGTGTTAGTCTGTATCCGCAAAAAGAACAGGAGTACTTGTGGCACCTTAGAGACTAACAAATTTATTAGAGCATAAGCTTTCGTGGACTACAGCCCACTTCTTCAGATGCATATTCTTGAATAAGTCAATTATGCTGGTAAGAAATCTTTGACTCAGATCAGGAGGTCCACCTAGTGGAAATGACAAGCAATCACATATTAGATCTGAGAGAATTTACCAATTGATTTATGACTTAATCATAACTTCTATAACCAATGGAGATATCAAAATTTGTTAAGCTACACTGACACCCATGAACTAAGTTTCAAGATCAATCAGATAACCTGCAAAGAATTTTCAAAAAAACTGGCTTCTGCATTTTTTTCTTCTTTATTCTACTTAAAGAACTACTGGAAGGATGACATCACAAGAGCTAAGTGAAAGCTGAGTATCTTAAAGGGAAAGGAATTTTTAATTGGACTGTTTAAAGCTCTTTTTTATTAATTCCTAGTTATCTTTAATAACTAATATTTTGGATAAAATAATCCTTTGTGAAATACTTGATATGCACACCCCTTGACTTAATTCTTTAGCTCACAGTAAACTTCCCTGAGACATCCCCGAATTCCTCTAGCTAAAAGGGAGGACCATATATATTTATATCAAAACAAAAGCAATTCCCTCCCTCAACTTTTTGGTCTTTTTATTTACATACTAAAGACGCAAATACCAGCACAAGCCCATTTTTTAATAAATACTTGATTGGTCACCTTTTAAGAACTACTTTGGTCCCCCACAAGGATATCTCAGACAAAACAATCTTCCTAAAAGCATTAAACCTGTGCATGTGGTGGGAGAGGCAGAATGATTAGGGACAAGTAAGGGGACAACAGAATTTTTCACTTCGAGGTCACTGGTGAAAATCAAGGTCTGGGTCTTCCATGACTAACAGTTATCATCTGATCATTGTTTGGTGGCCCATGTGATGAAGAGACTGGGTGGCTTCAGTCCAGTTCCTTTTAGAGAGGTATCCATGTTAACGCCTCTACCACAGTCTAGAACCCTTTCTGACAGACTCAACAAAATAGCCCAGTACTGAATAGGCATCAGAACCAAGGTGCCTTTGCCCTGCAGGTCAGAATTGAAATATAGTGTGTTTGTTGGGGAGAGAAACAGAGTGTACGGGAAAACTTACATTGCCAGTGTCCATGATATACGTGTTCTGTGGACAAATAAAACATTAAAAACAACAACCCCAAACTCTTGAATAGGTATTTCTAGGCATAGCTGATTGGGGGGCCAAACCACGCTCTGAATATTAAGAAAACCAAGATGTATTTTAACACAGTGTAGTTTACTGTGCTCTTCACAACAATCACGTGATTTAACAACTTTGAGAGAGAGAGAGACACGGAGTCAAATACACACACAGTGAAATTGTATAAGTAAGACTTTACTCAACAAAGTAAAAATAGATGAGTCAATTCCATGTTGAAGTCAGAGATTTGCATGAATAAAGACTGCAGGATTTGAGAAAATCTACACAGATAGATGTCAAGTATCGGGGGTAGCCGTGTTAGTCTGTATCTACAAAAACAACAAGGAGTCTGGTGGCACCTTAAAGACT